TATGTATGTTTCTATATAGCGCGTGTTGACTGCGTAAAATATTGAAATGTAATTCTTTTTCGGTGGCCCAAAATTCGCACACACGCGTAACTATAATCGGCGTTCTTTGCAATTCTGCAAAAATGTTTGCAAAATGTCCGGTATAAATAAATTAATTGCTATTCAGGTTTAGGTTTCTTTGTGGTTTTTTTTCAGAAAAATATTCTTATGAGTCAGAAGAGTCGTAACAAATTTTCCTTTATAAAATTAGGGTGATCCAAAAAAAAAGTAAAGTCGGAATTTTAGTGCTTTCACCCCTTAAGATTATCCTATAATGAAAAATACCCCTATGTTTTTGTTTTTTAATCGAAAAGTACTTAGCGTTCGCTCAAAGCGCTCAAAGTTTTCCATGTATTTTATATGAGAAAAACCACTTTTCGTAGAAATGGTATAGAATTCTTGAAAATCAATATTTTCGATCGGAAAACTCTGGTCCACTTCAGGAGACTTCCAATAAAAATAACCAATTGTTTATTTAACCATTGATTTTTGTCCATAAGGACTGATAAGTATTGAAATATCGTTTTAAAATTTTATCCTTGAAATTTCGCAATATTTGTTTTTGAAAAAATTATATGTTACGGACTTATAACACTCGATAACATCCTCGAATTTCGTCTTTCTAACTTTATCAACTTGAAAAATCACCTATTCGTTGTGAATCAAAAAAATTTTATTTTTTTTTATTCTAAAGAAATTTTACCTTTCATTTGGTACCCATATCTTTATTCTACATTTCATTGAATTTTTGAAATAATTTTTGGAAGTTATCATATTTTTGAAATTACAAAGTGCTTTAAAATAAATTTTGACGTCAGAGAGAAAAAATAAAAACGCAAATTTAAATAGTTAAAAAAGTAGGTTTCAAACCCATTTATTTGTTAATTATTTTATGGTAGTAGAGATAGAAGCCATTTTTTCGATTTAAGTTTGTGAAAAGTAATGAATATCTAAATCCCGGGACTAAGCCCGGTATCCCGGGATTGTGATAACCACATCTCTAAAATCTCGGGATCGTAAATAGCGAAAAAATTAACATCCCAAATCCATACAGACCCGTTAATAAATGCTACTTATAAATCTTGTGTCCTCTGAATTCCTACTGCTTATGGGATTGTCAAATTATTTCTTACAGGACACTGCGTACGGAATGGAGATTTTCACAAGGTAGTTGTTTTAAAAAATTATCTTTGTCCTTTGTGTCAGTCGGCTAAGGCCACACTCTTACACATTATAGTTGTTATTGGTGTTGTTTGTTATTGAAGCGATGCTGTTTTCAGAAGACGCAGGGAAGACTAGGCCTTATGGGTCATAATAACAACACATTTACCCCTTAAAGTGCTGCTGACCTTTTAAGGGGCCTTAGAAGTGTTGCAAAGAGCAGAGAGAAATCAGACTTATTGCATTCAAATGCACTCTCCTCGCTGTTATATCAGCAGCGACTGCGATAAGCCCTGTTTTAAAATCTTATTTTCCTAATGAATATTGATTACTCAGCTCAAGGCTATTCATAAACGAGCATAGACCAACAGTATACCGACTAATCGATTTCCCCAAAACAAAAAATAAAGATTTAAAAAATGGTGATTTGCAAGCGCATGCAATCACTATATAACACCCTCAAATACACTTACGCTGTAGATAATGGCATCCGAAAGAATACATCCATACACTAAGAAGCATGTTCAAGGAAGGTAGTCCGTATCGACAGCACAAAGCTATTAAATGCCATTGACAAAAGCGTCACTCAATACATTGACACTGGGGTGGCCCTTATTTTTAAAAGTAAAAAATGTTTAGCTCCCAATCTCTAACTTTGTTTGAATAGCTAAAAAAATGATATGTGCAAAATTTTGGAATGATCGAACAAGTTTTGGGCGACTCTCATCGACCTTGAAATTTTCATAAGTAGGTACGTATTCATCATCTAATGCTATACAATTTTTTATTATTGCCTTATATACTTAGTAAGTAATTTTTATTTATTCACAAACCTGGTTAAAAAATTGCGCTCACGATCGTTTTATGAGCCAAGCTGAGTTGCCAAGCTGCCAAGAGATATTTGAGAATTGCATGAAAAATGCATATCCTCTTCAGCACGAGCGAAAGGCTTTTAAACAAAAGTACGTGTGCATATTCACTGCACTTGCGTTTGTGTGGGAAATGCATGAGTGGCGCAGCTAATAGTTTTTCAACACAAAGCACAAACCTTTTAATGAAATAAAATTTCCGTAGAGATTTACCTACTCAATGTATTTTCTCTCCCTGTACAATGGAAAATATTTACTCCATTTATAAATCTGTTAAACAGACTTATTTCTTAATAATTTTTTCGCACCGAAGAGCATCCGCATATTTTCGGTGTAACAAATTACTCAAGAATATTTATTGCATATTATCCACGATTATTGTTAAGTACCCGTATATTGCACACATTGCGCTGATCTGATCCTTAACTCTTTACAGTAAATATGGTTAATGTGACACCACTCACTTGGAAAACAAAAACGAGTAATTTATGTATACACGAACCCAACTGACGCCAACCTTCACTCACCAAGCCGGCCATATTACAGTTCATTCACATGGTCCTGCAAATCATAACTCCCCCACAGCAAAAATTCGAATACTATCCGCTTTTTACGCTGCAGTAACCAGTGGCCAACCGTACAGTTAATCAGCCAGCAAGTTTAATTAATTTCAACGGGTTTAATGGCTGTTGTTGTGCACAAATTTATTGCACTTCCTGGCGCAATGCGACGCCTCAATACATACAACAATAAATACATATACCCGTACATACATACATACATGAGCGATGAGCGTACGCTTGCGCTTGCCCATTGAAACACCCGCATAGCTTGAGTGTACGAGTAATGAGGTAGTGGGGCCATGCGATCGATCGTAACGATATGGTGGACGGGCGTGCGTTTGTGTAGTGTTGTAGTATACGGCAATGATTGCTGATGAACATCGTAAATGTCAACATGATCACCACTGGGAAGATCGGTGGATTGCGTTTTTATAGCATGCGTATATGTATGTAGTAGTGGTGTACTACCACCACCTGGAGAGGGGTGTGTGTGTGTGTGATGCGCGAGTATGGCCAAGAGCGTGGAGTTGCGTGCACATCCATAAAAGTTATGTGACCCTGAAATACGTTTTACTCTAGATAAATAAAAGAAATACATACGAGTATTGTACGAGTAAATTATAAATATACGGGTCTGAGCCAAGTGCCAAACAAATGTAAAAAAAAAACTACAGTCTACTTATAAAACAAGCTTAAGCGAAAACGCAAGCAAGCAGCCAAGTGGCTGGCGATCGTAAATGAGCCAATGAAATTTATTATTGCAATTTCGGCCGGGCAGCGAACGATGGCGATGGCGATGACGACGATATGGAAACTCGTAAAAACATATTTTTTATTAGTTCGAGTGATTTTTATGTAGTTTTTTTTAACGTATCTTCATAGGTACAGCACGCTCAAAAATGGTCGAATGATGATTATTTTTAAATATTCACAATGTTTTTCAAGTTAAACTTTTTTTTTGTAATTTTTTTTAGAAAAAATGTTCTATACATAATTTGGAAAAAATTTCAAATTTTCATAAAAATTTATATTTTTTTGGTAAACGTATCTTCATAGGTACAGCAACGCTGACATTTTTCTGTTTACTTTTTTTTTATAAAAACACTGTGCTATAATTTCAAACATTATAATTAAATTTAAAATAAAAAAATTTTAATACGAAATAAAATTTTTTAAACTATACATAATTTGGAAAAAAATTCAGACTTTTATCAAAATTTCAGAAGCTTGTTAAAACATTTTTTTTATAAGTTCGAGTACTTCTTATGTTTATCTGTAAACTTTTTTACAGAAAACTTATCTTCATAGGTAAAGCAACGCGCAAAAATGGTATTTTTAATTATTCACAATGTTTTTCACGTTAAACATTTTTTTATCATTTTTTTGTTTAATTATGCCTGCATAATCGCACGCATCATAATTGAGTTTTCAAAAAAAAATTTATAGAAAATGTAGAAAAAGTTTTAAAATTTTCATTAAAATTTCAAAAACTTATAAAAACATGTTTTTGTTTTTAGTTACAGTAACGCGAAAAATGGTCGAGTGATGATTATGTATATACAATGTTCTTCATGTTAAACTTTTTTTAGAATTTTTTTATAAAAATACTGTTCTTGCTATGACGATTTCTTAGTCGCTTCAAACCTGTATTTAATTAATAAAATTTTATGCGCTTTCACTGCGTAGCCAAAAGTTTTCAAACAATACAGTTAAGAAGTTCGATTTTTTTTTTAATTTGCAGATTTCTCATAAATTTTGTATGTACTTTGTAAATTTAATTATTATGTTTTCGTGGTTATACATAGCACGGAAATAATTTTTATAAAAAATTAAAAATAATTTAGTTTAAAAATTTTTGTGAATATTTAAAAATTATTATCATTCAACCATCTTTCCGCATAACTGTATGTCTATAAGAAAATTTAATTAAAAGAGGCATATTCGATTTCAATTTGCTAAAAGTTTATTTCGAGTTAATTTTTTTGTTAATATTATTTTTTTTTATTAAATATAACACATTTTTACGACTTATTTAATAGTTTTACTAATAAATTTATTAAAAATAGTTAAATATGACATAAATTCTTAGCATAAAATTTTTTTGTGATTTTTACGTGTGGATGACTTGTTCTTGTTGGGATAATTTTTTTGTTTGATTTCTTTGTTGCTTTTCATATGGGGGAAGGGTGTGTTGCTTGATGTGTATTTATGAGCGTGCTTTTATGGGACTCCCTCGATTGTTCTGCTTCCTGGTGTTGTGTGTATGATTCAATGTTATGGCCGAAATCAGCAAAAATTTCTTGCCACTGCCGACCTTGGCGAAGAAGTTTTGGCCAGCAGTTGCTTCATAGTTATTGCTGATAATCGCTGATGATTGCTGATATCCGTTCATGTATGTATGTAGATGTTGCGAGCATAGTTTGTTATTACGAATAATTTTTTTTTTGTTGTACAATTTAAATATTTAATAGAGGTAAATAATAAAAACGTTTAAATGTTAAAACATAAACGAGCCAATCTTTCGTAATTCTCAGCATACGTTTTGCAATTCGTCTAATTGATTTTTTTTTTTAATTTTCAATTTGTTAATTCTATATTTCGCCTTTCCTCTTAAAACATGGCACGAGTTCACCCAAGCATCGCTTATTTGTATTCTGCCGCGTAAGTTTGGGCTGCCGGCACTTCGTACAACTCCCGCTCATACTCTTGGTATTGTTGTTGGTATTGTTCCTGCTGTGTTTGTTGTTGTTGATATTGCGACTGCTGCTGTTCCTGTTCCTGTTCATACGCCAGTATCATTTGCTCGTAATTTTCCATTTCATGTTGCAATTCAAGAATTTGTTCACTAATCTCTTTGGGCATCTCTTCCAAATGGATTGACTTGATCTTGGCCATAATATCCTTGGGTGACATTTTGTCAATACGGAAACCACGTTGATCAAACATGGGCATTTCACCGCGTGATTTGCGCAAATCATCGACATATTTCAGCGCACGTGCAATGGCTTCTGGGATTGGTGGTGGTGTGGGAATATGATCGCCTCTGGGCACGAAACCGTTGTGGTTGCTTTCGTAGTGAACGCGATAGAGTTTGCCATCATCACCGGTGTATTCGTACAAGCCCTTGGCATCGGTGCCACCGTTCTTATGCAGCTTAGCTTGCTCTTCGCCATAGATGCCGTTTTCGGTCAAGTAACTGTGTGGGAAGAGGTGGAGAGAAAAAATAAGAGAGAGTGAGCGGTGATTAGATATCGATATGGCAAAAATATTTGGCAGATTTGAGCCCTGTTCCTCTACTGGTCGAACTGTAATTGATTGGCAATTTTCTGTCATTAATTGTTGCATAGTTTTAGGCACCAAATATTATAAGTGGTGAAATTTAAGTGCGCAATATATATTTTGAGAGTTTACAATATAAGCTTTGAGTTGAAAGTTTATTTTGGTTTGAAATTTCGCGCTTTTATGGCACAATTAGAACTTTTTCGAAATTTGGAGGCGAATGAAAGCTCACCGAGACTTAAACCGAAAAATTGTCATTAAGGCACTCTCAGCTTCGAGCTGACATTGTAAGTTAGGCTTGAAAGCTGGTGATATTTAGAAAAAAATTGGCTGTGAAAATGTGAGCCAAAAGGCACCGAAAATACAGAAGGCACCGAAAATGTGGCCATCGAAAGGTGACTCGCCACACGCTTTATTGATAATTCAGCTGTTATTCAACGGTCATATTCATAAAAAATAAATAAGCTTTAAAAAGCTTTGTATGTAAATGATAATTTTCATCAACTATTTTGATGCACAAAGCATTTTAAATCTATTTCAATTTTTATGATTAAGAACGTAAGCTTTTTAAATCAAATACATAGTATTTCACTTACGAGTGATCGTATTTATCCTGTTTGCGCACATCCTCCTGATGCAACACCTTGTATTTGCCCTCCTCATCATAGTTGAACAACACCGTGCGTGGTGTGGTTGTAGTGGTAGTCGTTGTTGTTGTCGTGGTAGTGGTTGTAGTTGTAGGTTTCTTCGTGGTAGTGGACTATGGTTTGGATTTTCGTGTGCAGATATTTTGTTTGTTTGATTGTTTTGTGGAGGATGGCAATAATGGCAGTGTATTTGTTGTTGTACGAATAATTGTTGGGTAGAATAGTCGCATATTGAATTGATTGATGATTGTTGATTTGGTGATTTGTTTTTTTTTTTTTAATTGAAAAAGGTGGAATTTTGTAATTGAGTAAATGCGCGCTTGACAATATTTGAAAACTACTAAGTAGTATGTAGCAGTATGTATGTATGAATTACATAAGTACGATACTTGCGGTAAGTGTAGGGTGGGGGAGTGCGTGTCGGGGAAGTGAACCAGTGTGCAATTGTGTGTGTGTGCATGATTTCGATTATGTTCAAGCTTAACTACTTAAGTAACTATAAAAATGTGTATAATCAAGCTCTGTTTGGTGGATGTGTGCGGGTGGTTGGTAGTGGACAAGTTGACAGTTTAATGGGCGCTTGAATTTGTTTTTGTGTTGACTTGAAAACGAAATTTATCACAGTATTAATAATAAGTTTAGAATCACAAAAAATTTTGGTTATTCAAAACTGTATTTTTATAAAAAAAAAAATACTTTACTGTTACTTTACTACGTTGTTTTTTTATTTTTAGTACACTTTATATTTAATTGATATTTCATGATTAAGTGATTACAGGATTTTGGTGACACAGGATCGTGGGATGCCGGGATGAGGGAATTCCTATTATTAGTTGCATTATTTTATGAATTTGCTGCTGTTTGCTTTGTTAATACTACATATTTTTAATGTGTGATTTGATTGATGCGGGATACTGGGATTGGATTTTTTTTATATTAATTTTTTTGGGCGGTGCTTTTTTTTTATTGCGCTGCAGTAAGGGATTTGGGCGTGTTATTAATCAGCTCCGTTTTCAATTAAATCAGCGGAGTGATTAACATTAGGATTGGCGGTGTTGGATGTTATGTCAATTTGTGGTTCATGCTCGGGGAAGCCATATTCCAATTTGATTTCAGGCACTTTAAAATCAGCATTACTTACTGTGTAAAGATTGTGGCTGTTAAAAGATTAATGAAAGACAATAATATTAATCGTATGTTAACAAATTTTAGACAAAAAAAGGATAAGGCTGTAATTATTTTACTTACTCATAAGGCACATCAATATGTTTGTACGGAATGTTAGATCCGTTATATGGTCCATAACCACCATCATAGGGGTATGGGATGTGCCTATAGAATCCAAGTTCTCGATTGTCGTGTGTGTGACGATAAGGTTGGACATTGTGCACGTAACGACCTGCCGAGGTTAAGGTGAATGAAACAAAAAAAATAAACCAGAAAAATATTTGGTTAGTTTTTACATTTTTAAAGTGTAGAGCGTGTAATTTTTCTTTTGTGCTAACCGCATTTAAAGCAATACTTGTTTGTAAACATGTTTTTAAAAGCATGTGTGTGTGAGTAGAAGCGTGAGTATTTGAGGGGAGAGAGTTAGTAGAGAAAGAATGAAAGTGCCACAAGGCGAGGTGCATAAGTGTTTTCAAGAACATTGCGTGAGTTTATTGCCTTGTTGTCTGAGCAAAAAGATTTCCGTTATATTTATTAACCATAGACCAAGAGATTGTTTAAATTTAAAATAGTCGACCAAAAGATAAATAAAAATTTTGAATAAAAACATTGGAAAATCAAAACAAAAATTCAATTTGAATTTCTTGCGCCTAAGTAGACGAATTTTTTAAGACAATTGTGGCAGTGATGCTTACTAGATTTCAATAATTTAAATTTTGTTTTAATTTTATTTATGTTACTGCCGATTTCACCGGCAATTTAACTAAAAAAATGTGATTTCACATTCTGCACAGTTCCCATATTTAATTTATATAAAAAAAATAAATAATTTAGCATTTAAATTGCTTTCGTGAAACTGGCAATTGATGTAGTAGTACATGGTTTTGTTTTTGGTAGGGATTCGGGTAATGTTTATGTGGATTTTGAATTGATTTTTTATTGATTTTATGTAGTTTCGCATGTGAATATATAATATTAAAAAAATAAATTATATCTTTACCCTGAGCATCATAGTAACCGCCTTCGGCGCCTAGAAGTAGATATTGTGGTATTAGAAAAAATACAAATAACACATGCTTGTTTGTACGCACTGAAAAGCAACGCAATTTACAAAAATTATAAAAAAAAATTTCTATACATATTTACTTATTTTTGTATATAAATATATATATATACACACATATGCACGTATGATCAACAATGTATATGTATCAACAACAGTAAAACTGTATACATACGAAATTGTGTTGAAAAAATTAGGTACAGTGACAGCGATGGCAATATTTAGCCACTTCTTACATACAAACATACATATCAGTATATACAACGATTTTGGTAAATTTACAAGTTAGTTAGTGTAATTAATCGTGTGAATCATTTGTAGCAATCGGTTTTATCTGCAGAGGTTAGGTTTAATTTTTAAAGTTAAAGCTTGCTAATGCTGGTGTGCACAGCTAAAAATTAATTGTACTAAATTTCTAAGGTACTCAAATATGTAGGCGTCAGTTAGTTGGTTAGAGCTACAAAATTAGTTTAAAATTTACATTGGTTCAGAATAGTTTTTGTTATTGTTAGTTTTTTATTTTTTTTTTTAGAATTTGAAATTACTAATTTTTTCATCGATTTTTTTCCATTCTTTGGATGGCTTTTTTATTCCTTTTTTCAAATTCTTGTTTTCCAATTTAAATTTTTTTTGTTTTTTTTAATTACTTTACTTTGTATTTTTTCATTTTTATTTTTTTCTTTTTTGTGTTAATTTTTTTAGAATTTTAAATTACCAAATTTTTTCATTGATTTTTTTTCCATTCTTTTAATGGCTTTTTTATTCCTTTTTTTAAATTTCTTGTTTTCCAATTTAAATAATTTTTTTTTTTTTGTTAATTACTTTACTTTGTATTTTTTCATTTTTATTTTTTTCTTATTTTGTGTTAATTTTTGTTTGTATATTAATTTGTGTGAGTACTAGTAACAACAACTACTACAGCATCATAACAGTATGTGAATGCGCAACACTACTCTATTAGAAAGCGTTGTTCACTTTGGAAGTTTTTTTTTTGCTTCGTTTGTGAACTTAAACGAATTACCTTCGCTTTGAGAACTTGGACGATATTTGCCATCATTGCTTGGGCGATATTTGCCGTCACTTTTATTATCTACGGAATTCTGATACTTGCCATTTTCATTATCACCAACTGGTATGGCACTGCAGAGCGCAACACCGGCCTGAAAAGAGAGAGAGAAGAGAAATTAGTTTAATGGCAAAATGGTACAAAAAGAAACGTTTTATTAAATGGAGGGCGTTATATATATATATATATCTTATATGTATGTATAAGTTTTGCTACGCTAATCTGAAAACCGCTTTGCGTTAAAGAAAAAAAAAATATATATATCAGAGAATACCAGCCATGGCAGTTGAGCCAGAGCCGTATTTTTAATAGCACAAATCTTGCACATTTTGTCTCAAAGTGATTGGAATATAAAAAAATAAAGCCAAAATGTCGCAAAAATATTGTTTTTTGAAACTCTAAAATAAAATTAATAAAATAAATATGTTCACAATATATCGTCTTTTAAAAATAACTTCCGTTTTTTCTTTTTTGAGATTTTTTTTGAAATTGTAAATCTAATTTCCCGATTTTCAATTTCCAGTAAAAATATTATTAAAAAAAAAATTATTTTATAACTGATATTTTGACATGTGCAAAAATCATAAGTATATTTAAAAAATTTTTAAAAACCAATTTCCGTTAACATGTTATACCTTCTTTTTTATAATGAAAAAAAAAATAAAAATTCATATTTCATATTCTTCACTTCCGTTTGTAGCGCGTTAAAATTTTACCAAAATTTAGAGAAAAAATATTGATTAAAAAATTCCAAAAACCCGTCTGTTCTACTTCTGTTCTGGCTACTTTCAAAAATTTGCATAACGAAACGCGAGCAATGCATACAATTAAATGCCAACTGCACACATGCCAGCGCACAAAAACAAAATTAGTTAATTTTTTATAAAATTTGTGCATATTTGGCTAAACAATAAATTCAGTGCTAATGAGTCATTTGAAGCTGCTGTGACAAAGAAGAGACAAATATAATTTTGTAATTTTTGTTGAAATATGGCAATATAAAGGTGTAATACACTTTAAGCTAGAAGCTTTTTTTTTAATTTTTTTTTTTTATCTTTTTGGCCTAATAACAATTATATGTATGTATGTAAAAAAAGCAAAATAAAAAAAAGAAAACAAAAAAATATTAAAAAAGTCTACGCAAACAAATTTAGCACTTCACCAAATTGCTATTAATTAAAAGAGCAGCCGACTTAGGCATTGCATAGTACCAGTATTTGTATGTACATACATACATATGTACATATGTATTTACTTGTACCAGCAGATATTTTAGGGTGTGTTGCACCACTGCCAACAACGGCGGCTTCACTTGAAGCTACTCCCAAACAATAACAATAGCAATTGCTGGCGCGCATTGCATGCATGTGTATGTGTGTGCGAGTGTGTGTGAGTGTGTGTGTGTGTGTAGGGACCATAAGCTTTAAGCGCTTGAAATTTGAATGCGCGCCATTTGGAATGATTGATAGTGCCAATTTGATTTGCTGTTTTTGCTTGGTTTTTGTTTTTGCCATGCAACGGTTAATTTATGAAGATATGCTAGTGCGCATACACGCATACAAATATACATATGTATGTATATGGATACATGCTTCAACATATATGTACATGTACATTTGTGCTAACAAAGTGCCTTAAGGCAAGTTCAAAGCTAGAAAAATGTAAAGGTCACATTCTAAATGTGACACACATACGCACACATATGTATGTACTTTTATATGTTGTATTTTTTTGGCAAATTTTTTTCGCATTCCATTGTTATAAATACTTTCGTAGTTGATTTCGATTGCATTGCATCACACAGCCAGTTAGATGACTGCAAAAATTCAATTATCATATGTTGTTCATCTGAAGGTGGTTCTGTTATTAGCAAGTGCGCAAAATTGCCAACAAAAAGTGCATTGAACTGTTAATTTGCTTTAATCAAAACGAAAAATATGAAAAAAAAACTTAAAACAAGTAAAATGTACAAGAATCAAAATTCTAAAAATATTCCTCATTGGGCGTTTTCAGTTCCACCACAATGCTGTAGCTTCAATTAAGCACACGATCTGCTGTTCAATAATAAATATGTGCACTTGATGAGGATTCCATTGCAAATGGCACTCATAAACTTTTGAATTTACTGTAAAAGCAAGCAGTAGCACATATTTGCAATAATTGCACATTTCCTCAAAGCACTTGCATACTGTGTGTATGTGTAAGTGTAGATTGCAGCTCGCTGCCATGGCATTCATGTCGTATGAGTAACTTATTGCACTGCATTTTGCCAATGTCTTTTCTTTTACAAATACTGGTCGCGCATTTTGCCGGTCATGTGCGCACTACACTAATTTGCATAAAGTTCACTGCAGCTATTTTTGTCTGCATTCTTTGTTTTGATATAATTTTATTTATTTTTTTTAATTTTTTAAATTTTTCCCAATTTTTATTTTTTTATCAAATTATTTTTACTCACCACAATCGTTACAAATAACATCACTTTAGCATTCATTTTGTTGTAATTTGTTGTTTTTTAAAATTTTCTTTAAAAAACACTTCACTTTGAATGCGCACTAATAACAACACAGCTTAACAGCTTATAAGCTTTCCCCGATTTATTTTTTTTTAATTTTTCTTCTTTGTTGCACTTGTCAAACTTTTTGCTTTCTCAGCTTCGTTTTGGTCTTGGCTTGTAATCCTTAAGCTTTGCTGGCTGCAACAGGAATGTGTGCTTACCGTTCAAGTTCAGCTTGTTTATATACGAAAGTAAAACGCTTGACTGGCAGGCATTGATTTTTAAGCGTATGTACGTATGTATGTACGTCTGCTTGATCTCAACACTCAAGTTAGCGTCATCAGTTGTCAGTTGGCAGTTGGCACTCAGTCAGCATCAATGCTCTTCTCAATTTAGTACAATACATACATACAACTCACTAAAAAGCAGTTCAATTTATTTTTTTTGTTGCTTTTGCTTTTGCTTTTATTATTAGTACTTTGTTATTGTTTTAAATTCGGTTTGATTTGTTTCACATTAAATTAAAAATTTCTCATTGCTGCGCCTACGTGTATTGTTGTTCTCATTATTCTTTTTGGCGTTGATAAGGTTTCCAAAAA